GTCCTCCATACATTCAGTGCAAGATAAAGTTGATGTTGAGACTCTAGAAAAAGTGCAGAGAAGAGCAACCACAATGATTAGGGGACTGGAGGCTAAAACATACGATGAACGGTTGCAGGAACTGGGAATGGCTAGCCTAGTGAAGAGAAGGACTAGGGGAGACATGATGACAGTCTTCCAATATTTAAGGGGCTGCCCTAGTGAGGAGGGGGGTCAAGCTATTTTCCAAGGCATTTGAAGGCCAGACAAGAAATAATGGATGGAAACTGATCAAGGAGAGATTCAACCTAGTAATAAGGAGAGATTCAACCTAGAAATAATTTTCTGACAGTGAAAACGATCAACCAATGGAACAGAAGTTGCCTTTGGAAGTTGTGGGAGCTTCATCACAGGAGGTTTTCAAGAAGAGATTGGACTGCCATTTGACAGAAATGATGTAGGCTCTCCTGCTTGGGTGGAGGGTTGGACTAGATGATCTACAAGGTCCCTTCCAACTCTGTTAATCTGTTAAATCTGTTAAACTAATGTCAATACTCTCTTTTGTTGCTTTTAGCTGTCACAAGTCCTCCTACCTGTCTGGCAGTTGACTCTGTCACTGATACTACAGTTACCATGAAGTGGCGACCACCAGATCAGATTGGAGCAGCAGGTTTAGATGGTTATATTATAGAGTATTGCTTTGAAGGAAGTAAGTCCCAATCATATTTCATGCAAAAGATAAAATATACCCATTTTTTTCTATTCAACAACAGCTTTGGTCAATGTATGTAAAATATAAAGATTCTCTAAAGTAAACTAAAAAGACCCTTTCAAAATTTGTGTTGAATTCACCATAAAAGAAGTTCTTAAGTAACTAGTAAGCTATGTATTGTTCTATACATCTTCTCAACTGTTGAATCAGTGAAAACATCTGGCTGTGGATGATTTGTGCCACTGATTATACTAAAGACAACTATGTTGGATTTTTATGAATGTTAACTAGACTGTACTTCCAAATTGTTCTCAAATGTCTCCCAAACTTTTAGTCTAAGTAGAAAAGATATTGATCTGAAGTAAAGATCAACAATCAGCTAGAAATTTTAAAGAATAGGGCAAAAATGGAATGGAATACAAACATGTTGTATTTGATTATTATTATTACTGCTGCTGCTGCTTCTGTTGCTTCTACTTTTATGGAACAGCTCAATAATAATTCAGAAATCTCAGGCTCCATAAATCTGTTAACTTTATGAGGGTTGTTAGCATATACAATTCCTGATTCATAAAAATCTAGCAGATGGTTTGGGAAATTTTCGCAAAGTAGAATATTCAGCAAACTGCAGAAAAATGGAAAACACAGCTGGAACATAGCTAATAGCTTCCAATTTATATTTTACTCTCCTTAACAAATGATTTATCATTTCTTCCTAGCAAGTATTTAAAAGTAAGCAGCTTTGATCTCTATCTTTTGTTTTTTCCTGTCAACATGGATCTGCTGAACAAAGTATTTTAGGCAATTTTAAGCCACTTATTTGGAATGTGTCTGCTTTAGAGCAGAGATGTAAAATATTTTAGGCTATAAAAGTAAGAAATGTTGTTTTGCTAATTATTATAGCTAAGCAGAAATGGTTTTTCCAGACCTGGCCTTGAAAAAGAGAAAGTATAATTTAGGTTCATTGGCTAGGCAAAAGATTTCTCTCTTACTGGATTTTAAATTTCTTCCCATATTGCTAGCCATACTTATATGGAACTGATTTTCAAAAATAGAAATTACATTTTAAAAAAGTGAGTAAGTAACATTTTAATAAGCTACAAGATACATCAAGAAACAAAAGAGCTTGAACGTATCTCAAATGTAAATTGTGTCTGCCATTTTGACATGACCTACCTTGTATAAAATATAATAATGATATATTTTTACAAACAAATGTGGTATACAGCCTATAAATTCTATTTACCTTTGCATATCTAGTTATAAATTATACATGTTACATATATACTATCTGTGTATATCTATGCATGCGAATACACAGACCCAAAAATTATGTTACTCATGTATGTATTGTAATGTTTTAGAACAGAACAATCTAAAGGGTTAAACTTTTTGTTTACTTTGTTATATCTCTTGTTATGCATTGTTTCTTTTGTTTGTCTTTTTTAGTATCTGGATTTCTGTATTCTTCATCTTCTTTCCTGCAGAACTTTTCTTTCCACTAATGTCTCTGTAAAACTTAATCTCTTACTTGGATCTTCAGCAATCTTTTTCTTTAACTGTCAATCTTTCAACTCCATTTCTTCAGTTCTATCTTTTCTTGCTTATACTTATTTATTCTATCAACCAATCTCTCTTTTCTCTGCTTTTCTCTCTTGCTTGCCTGTTCCCCTCGAATGGGGTATTAGTAGAATCACTTTAATCAAAGGCAAATTTCATTTTAAAAAAAAACAACTTTTCAAATATACAAAACCAACCTTAGAAATGATTGTTTAAAAATTAATAGAATATACTCTTTCATTGGAAACAGTACTATATTCTAAATAGACCTATGTAAATAGCTTCAAAGGATCAAACAACAGTAGTTACATCACAAGAATGGAGTGAAAAGTTTTTAAGAACTGAAAATAAAAGAGCAGACTTACCACTTTCTCATGTTTTGACACAGATTATCAACAATGGAAAATAGATGAAGTAAAAATAATTTTTCTAAATTTAGAGATAGACATTACTCAGAAGTGTTCTTCAGCTAGTGAAAAACATTATCATGAAGAGATCCCCATATTTATCTTGCATTTATTTTTCAAATTTATCTATATGATATTTCCTCTAAACCTATCACTCGGTGGAAAAACTGACACACAATCATCTGATTCGATCCAAACATTATTATATGGTAAAGTATTGTTTTTATCTGCTACAAG